TACAATAAAATCAAAAAATTAGCTGGGCATGGTAGTGCGTGCCTGTAGTTCCAGCTACTTGGAAGGCTGAGGCGGAAGGATCGCTGGAGCCCAGCAGGTAGAGGCTGCGGTGGCCGGGAGCGGCCACTGCATTCCAGCCTGGATGACAGAGTGAGACTCTAACTCAAAAAAAAAGGAAGACACCCAATAGGCTGTCTGGGGACAGGGTGGTCTGTGCCCAGGAGCCCACGGGCCCAGGGCAGAGACAAGAACATGCTGGACTTGGAGATGGACAGGAGAGGCAGGTGCCATCTGCAAAGGAAGGAGCCCTGCGCTCTCTGGCCCATGGCTTGCCTGCACAGTGTAAGCACCCCAGGAAAATGAGACAGAGAGGACCTATGGGAACAGTGCTCTCACTCAAGACTTTCACTTCCTGGAGGGACAGGAGGAGGTCACAGAGACAGAGGGGCATGTGGTCACACAGAAGGACTTGTGGGCCTGGAAGGCAACTGGAGGGTCTAGTAATTTCTCCTCAAGACAAGGAGATCAGAAGGGGTTTGTGTGTGTGTGTGTGTGTGTGTGTGTGTGTGTGTGTGTCCAGAGAAGCAGCAGGACAGAAAGGTCTGGAAATACTGTTGTTGGTTGGCTTTGAATCCCCACTCTGAACTGCAGGCCCTTTATCTGTGCCACAGGGGCTCGGCTTGAAGTGTGGTTTCAAAATCAAGAGTTGAATCAGAGCAATAGTCCTCAGTGTTTAGTTTCTCAAGCCAACATAAGAGTGTGTGAGAGTGTGTTCCAATCGCCATCACAATGTCTCTGCGTAGCGTATACCTCTGATTGTTGCCAGAGCCCCCACCACTCCTTACTGCCTTCTGCCTGGCCACACTCCCACAAGCACAGCCTCCTCAGTGCTTGAGTTTGCCATCCTTGGCTTGGAGGCCTCTGAGGTCCTTTCAAGCACTGACCTGCAGGAAAGGTGATGGCCTGGGGTGGAAGGATGGCTGGGGCAGGGAGAGGCGGGTCTAGTTCTGTCCAGCGATGGAATTGAGGTGCACAGGAGGGTCTTTTTCTGCAGAGGCTGGGAGGGGACCGGTCCTGAGCTCCCAAACAGGCCAAGGCCACAGCGGAGGGGGCAGGAAGCACCAGAGTTGCCCCATCTGAGTGTCAGTGCACCTTCCCAGCTGTGGTGCCAGCTCAGCCTGACGGGCAGATGCTGATTGGGAGCCATGGGACACATGGTTCCCACTGGAACAAGCCTGCTGCTCCTGCCTGCCCTCACCAGCCTTTGCCCTTAGGACTCTTGGCACTTCCAGGCAGCTCCCAGCCCTGCTGAGCTTGAACCAACCAGCCTGTGACAGGACAAAAGTGGCCCAGGGCAGGGAAGCTGCAAACGAGCACAAGATTGGATGCAGTCCCAGTCACAGGGCTCAGTCTTAGAGGCCAGGCAAGGAAGATGGACCGACCCAGCCATAGACACAGCTGGGTTTACAACAGCCTGGTGGCACAGGGTCAACTCAGGAGTCGTGAGACCTGAGGGCTGGGCACTGCTCTGCTTCTGACAGGCTGTGTGGCCCGGGGTAAGCCCATTCTCCTCTCTGGTTTCCAGGATGAAGAAGGAGAAGATAAGCCGAGTGGGTGGCAGCCAGCATGCACAATGCCTTCAGCCTTGTCCAGAGTGTAAGGCTGGGATCTGAGCCCCTCCCGGCTTGCCTGGTCCACAGGATCCAAGCGGCCTTCCCCCTGCGTGTCCCAACATTCCTAGCGGCAGTCAATGACCTGGAAAGGCGTCCAACAAGTTTTTTCTGGAAGGGAACCTGACCCTGGCAGGAGGGGCAGGGGGTAGGGGTGGGAAGATGAGGATCTTGTGACTGCAGCTACCAAAGCCAGCCTCCAAACTCGGTCCTGACCCCACCAGCCCTAGAGTGCCAGAGGGCCTGAGATGAAACACAGCCTGGTCCTGCATGCCAGGACCTGGCATCAGAGCCCAGCAGTTGGTAGGTCTGGCTGTGAATGAGCGGTACCTGGGCCTCACCACAGGGGTTCTATTCAGGGAGTATGGGGCTGGGCCCAGGAATCTGTTTTTTGTTTCTTTGCTTGGTTTTTGGTTTTGAGTTGGAGTCTCACCGTGTCACCCAGGCTGAGGTGCAGCAGTATGATCAAGGCTCAGCACAGCCTCAACCTCCTGAGCTCAGAAGATCCTTTTGCCTCAGCCTCCTAAGTAGCTGGGACTACAAGTGCACAATACTACACCCAGCTCATTAAAAAAAAATTTTTTTTTTTTTTTGTAGATATGAGGTCTTGCTATTTGAACTCCTGGGCTCAAGTGATCCTCCGGTCTCCGTCTCCAAAAGTGCTGGGATTACAGGCATGGGCTATACTGTACCTGATCCAGAAATCTGTATTTTTATTATTTTTTAATTTTTAAAAATTTATTGTAAAGACGAGGTCTCACCAAATTGCCCAGGCTGGTCTTGAACCCCTGGGCTCAGGTAATCCTCTCACCTCCACCTCCCAAAGTGCTGGGTTTGCAGGTGCTGAGTTTACACTTTACACTGCACTCAACCCAGGGGGAAAATAAATAAATAAATAAAATTATATATTCATATATATTTTGAGTTGGAATCTCACTCCGTCGCCCAGGCTGGAACATGCAGTGGCACGCTCCCGGCCACCGCAGCCTCAACCTGCTGGGCTCAGGCAATTCTTCCGCCTCAACCTTCCAAGTAGCTGGAACTACAGGCGCACGCTACCATGCCTGGCTAATTTTTGATTTGTTGTAGAGACGACATCTCACCAAGCTGCCCAGGCTGGTCTCGAACCCCCGAGCTCAGGCAATCCACTTGCCTCAGCCTCCCAAAGTACTAGGATTACAGGCTTGAGCCACTGAGCCCGGCCTGGAATCTATATTTTTTAAGGAGCATTTCCCCTGGCTCCCCCGACCACCACACACTTGCCCCATGGGGATTCCAAAAAATAAACCGGGCTTTATTTCCTAGAAAGCCACCAGAAGTTCTCTGCCACTAGGACATCTACAATTTCCGCATTGCCCTGAGGCAGGGTAGCAAGCACAGGTTAGGCATAGATAGAGGGGTTTCTGGAATGTGAGTTCGGTGTGGATTCTCAGTCCACCCCACACCTCAGCTTGCCAGAGGAAAACTCTATCAAGGTGGCTCCTGGACCCAGGATCAAAAGCCATAGAAATGATCATAAGACCACTGCTCCACCCATCCGAGCCCGAGAGATCTCAATCTCTCAGGAGTTATCTGGGTCCCACCCTCCCTAGCATATCAATCATTGCAAAGGGATATCAGGCTTATCATCAAAAGCAAAAAGCACGGTTTCTCTCGCCCATGCTAGCTCGGGCCTGTCTCCCTTTCTTTCTTCTCTTCTTTCTCTAATAAACTTTGTTTTAAAACTTTGCTGGCCACTCTAAAATTCATTTTAGGGTGAGTCAAAAAATCCACGAGTTTGGTGCTGCACCCCACTGGCATCACCCCAGCTGAACCTTCCAGACCCTCCCTTCTGCCACCCTCTAAATGGGGTTGGAAACCCCAGAACCAGATCCGACACTTCCTTGATGCCGACACTGTTCCTTGTTAGAGTTCTCGGCCCCTTCTGCTGCCATGCCCTAGACCTAGGAGGCTCCAGCCCTTCAGCCTAAATGCTGCCACAGTTTTTAGGTCTTTCCTCGAATCCAGTCTCCCAAACTGCAGTCATTCATCTGCCATCTTGACAATGTTTTTGCTCATGTCTGCATACCACTTGTTCTAGAATTTACCTTAGTATTTTCCATAAATTGATGTTTTAAATAAATTAAATAAATTAATTTTATTTTGGTTTTTTTGTTGTTGTTTTTTTGAGTTGGAGTCTCACCCCATCACCCAGGCTAGAGCGCAGTGGCATGCTCATGGCCACTCCAGCGTTGACCTGCCGGGCTCCAGCGATCCTTCTGCCTCAGCCTTCCAAGTGGCTGGAACTACAGGTGCATGCTACCACGCCTGGCTAATTTTTTTTTTTTTAATTGTAGAGTCAAGGTGTCACCAAGTTGCCCAGGCTGGTCTTGAACCCGCAGGCTCAGGCAATCCACTCTCCTCAGCCTCCCAAAGTGCTGGGTTTACAGGTTGATCCACCAAGCCCAGTCAAATATATTTATTTTAAAAGAAAGTTTCTGGAATTGAATGCAGAGAGCCCAATGTACCCAGCAGTGTTACAACAGTCAAAGGCAGGCGCAATCCAAGTATCCTTCAGTGGATAAAAGGGTAGACAAGACATGAAACAGGCACCAATCAGAATACCATTCGGCCATAAAGAGGAAGGACACTTGGTCGCCGGCTACAACATGAGTGAGCCTTGAGGACATTGTGCTAAGTGAAAGAAGTCATGCACAGAAGACAAATAGTGTATGAGTCCATGTATGCGATGTACCCAGAATAGTCAAAAACACAGAGACTGAAAGAGAAATAATTACCAGAGGCTGGGAGGAGGGACATGGGGAGCTATTGCTTAATCAGTCCACTGTTTCAGCTTAGGAGGAAGAAAAAGCTCTGGAGATGGGTGGTAGTGGTTGCACAACCGTCTGAACAAATTGTATGCCACTGAACTGTACACTTGAAAGTGGTTAATATGGTACATTTTTTGTTATATATACCTTACCACAATTTTACAGAAAGTAAACTGTTTTCCATTTATAAAGGGGGGGGGGTAAGTATCACTTATCATTGAAAATGAAACAATGTAGACCTGGCTCAGTGGCTCAGCCTATAATCCTACACTTTGGGAGGCTAAGGCGAATGGACTGCCTGAGCCCACAGGTTCGAGACCAGCCCGGGCAACTTGGTGAGACCTCATCTCTACACTAAACAAAAAATGAGCCAGGCGTGGTAGTGCACACCTGTAGTTCTGGTTACTTGGAAGGCTGAGGTGGAAGGATTCCCTGAGCCCAGTGGGTGGATGCTGGGGTGACTGAGTGTGCCACTGCAGTCCAGCCTGGGTGACAGAGTGAGACTCCAACTCAAAAAAAAAAGGAAAGAAACAATGTTACCAATACAATGCCAGTCAGTTTATCACTTTGTTAAAAAGAAACATTAGCCACTTTAGAGCAATGTCAAGGACACATCCTACAAGTCAGAGACTTTCTCCTTGAGGTAAGAAGGAGGATTAAGAAAATCTGAAAAGAATCTTTGTCCTCCCTGTGAGAACCAGTGTCAATTAATGCCTCTTTCTGAACTGTCTTAAGACACCCATCGTGTATGTCCCAGTCTTTGGAAACTTCCCTTCTGCCCACGATTTCCTCTTAGATCTTTCTAAACAATCCCTTTAGGATCCAGAATAAATATTTACTTCTGACACATACAAATTCTTTGGTGGTTTTCCAAAGTGCTTCTGTGCATGTCAGACCATCATCAAGAAAGCTCTTGAGATAAATAAATAAATAAATAGCCAGGTGTCCTGGCTCACACCTGTAATGCCAGCACTTTGTGAGGCTAGCCTGGACAACATAGCAAGATCCTGTGTATTTAAAAAAAATTTTTTTAAAGAGAGAATAGAATGCTCTCATATCCTACCATTTTATAGCTGGGTCTCAGAGAGCGGAGGTCACTTTTCGAGGTGACTGAAGGTAAGTCTGAGGCCCAGGTTCGGAAACCTCCCCCCTCCCTCCAGCCATTTCCCTAATTGCCTGGGACTGACCCAGAGCCTTGGCAGAGTGTTCTTGGATTAATTTTCTGACTCTAGTCTTCACAAGACATGAGGTGCTGAGGTCTCAAGACATGAACCCAAGTCGCCGACATCAGACAGACATTGCTGCATCCACAGGTCTCCCTGTGACTTAACCAGGACTGGGCTCTCAGGAGACCAGGGTTGAAATCCTGCATCTGCCAACAGCTTGCTATGTGGAGTCAGGCAAAACAAAATAAAACAAAACAAAACACCCACCAGACTCAGTTTCTACTAGAGGTTTTGTAACACCGAGAGAAGACGGAAGATACCACATCAGTGCCTCTTGATGCCTCAGTGCCATGTGGGACCTTTGGACCACTAACACTAGAGTCCCAGAGTCTAGATGGTTTAACCTGCAGGCTCTGAGCCCCACCCAGGCCTAGCCAATGGGACCCGGGGGTGGAGCCCAGGGGGTGTGTCCTGGGGGCCTGCACTCTAAACCAGGAGTCCTCAGTGCCCAAGTGGTGGACCAGGGTACCGGTCCTGGCCTGTTTGGAACTGGGTTGCACAACAGGAGGTGAGCAGCAGGTGATGGGAGCTCCATCTGCTGCCAGGTCAGTGTGGCATGAGATTCTTACAGAAACACAAATCCCACTGTGAATTGCACACGCGAGGGAGAATCTAACACCACCACTGACTTGCACAATAAATGGAATATGCTTGGGTCCTCCGATGACCATCCCCCAACGCCACCCACAGAAAAACTGTCTTCTACAAAATGGCCCCTGGTACCGAAACGGTTGGGGGCTACTGCTCTAAACAGTCTCCCAGGTGGTTCTACATGTGGGAAGCCTGGGACCCCTGGCTCAGCCGCCTCTGGGGACCCTTCTACCACATTCGGAGGTTTCCGGAGGGCCAGGTCCTCACCTCAGGCAGCCAGGAGGAGCCCCTTTGGCTCCACCAGGCCCAAGAGGAGGAAGCGCCCATGACCTTAACGTGACTGGGGGGAGTCTTTATTTTTTCTTGCTGCAGGGAGCAGAGAGGAGAGACTTCCTGCCAAAGCTAGAAACTCTTGGCTGTGATGGGGAGGGAGGGGCATTGTGGACTGCTAGGCTGTGTCCCCTCTCCTGTGTCACCTGGGGTGGAGAGAGGGGCATGGGGCTCAGGGTGACCAGCCTTGTCACCCCAGCACTTTGGGAGGCTGAGGCAGGAGAATCGCTTGAGGCCAGGAGTTCGAGACCAGCCTGTGCACCAAAGTGAGACCCCCACCCCTAGAAAAAAAAATTACAGACAAAGCTAAGCATGATGGCCCCAATTCTGGCTTTCTTGGACCTCAGGAAGACACCCCCCCACTTTGGGGGCCCCCATGTCTCTCCTTAGAGGGCGTGGCTTCGGACACCAAAGCAACTGGAGATGTCAGAGAAGAGAGACCGTCCAGTCCAGGGAATCCCCTCCCCTGCCTCCCCAAGATGGTCAAAGAACAGCCAGGGCGCCCTCTGGCTAAAAGTGGCTACAGGTTGGCTCTCCACCGCCCTCATGAAAGGACCCCCGTCTGAAGAGCCTGGTACCCAGACTCCAGAGTCAGAGTGGGTCTGTGATCCAACAGGGAAACTGAGGCTCACAGCGGGGCGGTCTCGGTCCAAGCTCCCGCGGAAGGGAGGAGCCGCCGCTCCCTCTCCAGGAGCCGGATCTCGGGTCTGCCGAGAGCTGGCCCCAGGACACGTGCCCGCTCTGCATGCCATCTGGCTCCCACCTCTCTGCAGACGCTCCGTGCTGGCCTTCCCTGCGCGCCCCTGGGCTCTGGCGCAGTGAGTCAGGCTTCGGGTTCCTGTGTAGGGTCGTTCCAGGGATGCTGGAAACGAGGAGTCTCCCAGGTCATTCTGCACATTCCTTCCCACTCCTCCCAGCCCTGCTGTGTGGCTTCGGACAAGTAGTTGCCCATCTCTGACCCTCGATTCCCAGCCTGACCTCAGGGACTGCAGAGGGCTCCTCGGTCACCTACCACAGTCCCGGCTCCGCGAGCGGCAGGGCGGCTCCCTCCAGCCAGCTCTGGGGCTGCACGATCCCAGGCAGCGTGTCCTGGCCAGCCCACCTCCTCCCCACCCCGCCCTAGCGCTTTTTTCCTTTCACTTTTGATCTGCAAGACCAGGCTCGGGCCAAGGTGGGGAGTGAGCAGGCATCTCCCCGGCCCACCACGTGCTCTCTCAGAAGCCCCCTGTGGCTGCCCAGCCGTCTGGGCCCTCCTGGGGGTCCCTGCATCCTGCCATCCCCCAGTGGCCAGCCCTGCTCTGGAGGAGGGTCCCAGGCCTGGGCCAGGGTGGCCTCAGGCAGGTGCCCTGCAAGCCTTGGCTCTGCCAGGAAGCTCGTCCCCACCCTTGGTTGACCTTCTGTTTCCAGCGGAGCCCAACCATGAAAGTGGCAAACCACCTGCAGGCGCAGGAACCCTGGAACCAGTCAGCCCAGCTGCCACACCACCAATGCTGGTCCTTGGAAGGAGGAGAAAGTCCCTCGTGGACCTCTGTTGGACAGAATCCCAGCTCCGGCAGGCTTGTGTTCCTACTGCCACACCTGGTTGCAACAGTCCTGTCCTTCCCCTGGACCCCTGTTCCACTCAGGACATGAGACCTTGAGGGAGTCACTTCCCCTTGCCGGGTCTGGGCTTTCACATCTGAAATGAAGGGAATGGGTCAGGGTGACCTCTGACTTCACTCTCTCCAACTCCCTCCCGACAACCTGCAGCTGCACCCAGGAGAGCTGGCAAGTTTGCCATCAGTCTCTGGGCTCAGATACAGCCGTACATTTCAGGGGAGTCTGAGAAGAGGGGTCCCACCCCTCCCAACCATTCAACAACCGCAGCTCCAATAACACTGGGCTCCTCTGATGATATTCGGTTCCTGCAATGTACCAGGCACTGTACTAGACCCTCTGACCCCTCACCATTACTGTAGCCTACAGGATTTCCCCCAACCCATTTTACAGCCCAGGAAAACTGAGACTCAGGGAAGGTAAGAAATTTGTACGAGGGTACACCCCAGCCAGCAGTGCAGCTGCGGTCAAACCTGACATGCTGCCCTCAGAGCCGGTGACAGGTGTCTATGCCATCCCTTCTCTCGCCAGCTGTCCCGTCCCCACTTCTCAAACAACACCATTTGGGAATGGGGGAGCGACCAGCATCTGCCAAGGGCCCAGCTCTTGCCAGCTGCCCGGAGTTCAGCCTTCGTCCCACAGGGCTTTAACTCCATTCCTCTGCTTCCCTGGGGATGGGGTGGGGTCTGGCAGAGGTCCTGTCCTATGGAGTCACCCCCTCAGTATTCACCCAAAGTCAGACCTGGCCTGGACAGGACCTTGCGGTTGGCTGAGCCATGCCAGCATGCCGAGAGTCACGGCACGCCCCCTGGAAGTCGGGCTTTGAGAGCCCTTCAGCACTGATAAAGTCCTCTCTCATTCCAAGCACCTGACAGGCCCGAGTGTCCCCTCCAGTGGAAGGAAATAGAAGACCTTCCGACAGGCTGCCCCAGCAGGACACGGACTCCTCTTCCCACCCCCACCCCCAGTTCAGAACGAGGTCTCTGTGTACCTGGGATGGCAGGGCACCAGCAGAGACCTCGCTGCAAATTGAGATGCAGTCTTTTTACCTTGGGATTCTGACAGGTAGGGCCCCCCAGCACTAGGAGCCAGGCAGCGCATGGTGTGGGCAGCACAGGTAGGCAGCAGCTGCTGGAGTCTGGCAGCCCCTCCTGGCACCCTCAGCCTTCCAAAGGATGCCTTCAGATGCCCAGCTCAGAAGCACACAGTCTCGTTGCTAGCTGTCTCCCAGCACCCATGAAGCCGCCAAGCCAAGCCAGCATGCAAAGGACTCTGCAAGGGGCCGGCAGAAAACTCTCCCTGCTAGGTGACCCCGAGCCATCAGCGTTCTTGTTTCTCAACACCCTCTAATTTACCCACACTCCCTTAAGCCATCCCCACGCCCCTGATGTTAATTTCAGTTCCTTTTAGTGGACCAAATTTGGTGAGCCCAGAAAGTTGCGAGTTGTCTGTTCTGGGGCCTTTAATACTCTGATGTTCTGAAATGACGACCATGAGGAAACCACACTGGTGCCAGCTGCCAATACTGAGTGTCCTCTGCAGGATGGGGCCAGCCTCAGAACCCCACAAAGAGGTTCTGTGTGGGATCGGCACTCCCTAGACTTCACTCCCCTTTGCCATCCCCCCACCCCCAACATACACATGCACCAAAATGCCCTGAGCGTCCCTGGAGTGTAAGTGATCCACACGATGCTTATTCCGAGACATTGGCCTAAAACAGATATTACACACAAGACGGTACCAAACCCAATCTGGTACACTTACAGCCAGATGTTTTGGGGTGACCCGCATATGTGGTGCTAGATAATATTGACCCCTACAGAGAAAAAGTTCCTGTCTTTTCAAGTCTCTGCTCACCCTCCTGATGACTTCAAGGAGAAAGTCTCAGCTTGGTACTCAAGTTGTTCATGCCCCTTCTAACGCACGATCATCCCTTTTCACAGAGAATAGCTGTTCAGCCTCAGAGCCCTCTGTGGTCAACAATATGCAGCCAGAAACGAATAATACTGCCCTGCCTTCTTGTGTAATAGTTACTTTCGGTTTTTAGCATTCTTTTTCCTTTATGATGGGTCATAAAGCTTTCTTTGAAAATAACCTTGTGTCCTGGCATGGTGGCTCACATCTGTAATCCCAGCATTTTGGGAAGCTGAGGTGGTAGAATCATATGAACCCGGGAGTTCAAGACCAGCCTGGCTAACATAGCAAGACCCTGTCTCTACAAAAGACAAAAAATTGCCTGAGCCCAGGAATTTGAGACTGTGGTGAGCTGTGATCATGCCACTGCACTCCAGCCTGGGCAACAGAGTGAGACACTGACTCAAAAAAAAAAACAAAACAAAGCAAAAAGCAAAGAAAGTTGAGTAAAAAAAATTTAGTGTTAAAAAAAAAAACTCTCAAGTAAATCATAATATAGGTGGTTAGCAGGAAAGGCAAAAATGGTGAGGGTGGTACTGAAATAAATGAGGTTTCGAAAGTCAGACTTACATGCCTCATGCCTTTTTACTAAAAGAGCACTGACTGGGAGATTGAGGAGCTGGCTGTTACCAGCAGGTGTGAGACCTTGGCCCCCTCATTTCCTTTCTGTAGGCGTCAGTTTCCCCAAGCATGAAATGAGGTTGATGCCTGTCTTTGTATGGAGATTATTTTGAAGTAGTCACTGTTTTGGGAATTCCTAAGGGTGGAGGGGAGGAGTAGACAGACAAATAAGAAATGCTGAGAGTCCATTTAAAACAGAACCTTGCTCTGTTGGGCAAACACAATGGACATGATGAATGTTAAAAGTTCCAGCTGGGCATGGTGGCTCACTCCTGTAATCCCAGCACTTTGGGAGGCTGAGGTGGGAGGATCACTTGAGCCTGGGCAACATAATGAGCTCTTGTCTTTAAAAAAAAAAAAAAATTAGCCAGGCATGGTGGCCTGTGCCTGCAGCCTCAGCTACTAGGGAGGCTAAGGTGAAAAGATCACTTGAGTCCAGGAGGTCGAGGCTGCAGTAACCATGATCGTGCCACTGCACTTCAGCCTGGGCAACATAACGAGACTCCGACTCAAAAAAAAAATTTATTTTTCCCAAGAAGTCTCATTCTCCTGCGACCTGGTGCCAAGGGGGAGGCACTCCTGGCTGCTCAGTTGTCTTGAGGCCACATGTGGGGATCCTGTTCTCAGAGACTGCTGGTTCTGATGTCCCCCACCCCACCCCTAGGCCCATGGCCAAGACGGCTTTATGTCAGGGCAGAGCTCAGAATGAGAGTCTGGTCAACCAGGCCACCCATCTCTCACCTGGATGGCAGCAGCCGCTTGATACCCATCTCTCTATGTCCTCCCTGACCAGCCTTCCACAAGACCTCAATCTGATCATGTCTGTGTCAGCGAAGAAGGTTCCCACGCCGGGCAGTGACACTTGTCAGCCTGTGTGTCCCACCGATGGCAGAGGCTGCACCTTGGCACCTGAAGGCAGCAGGGCAGAGGGTGAACGGCCGGCCGTGGTACCCAGCCAGGAGGTGGCTGAGTCGCACAGAGGTACGTGAGGATGCAGAGATGGGGAGGGAGGGGAAGGAGGGCTCAGAGGCAGAATGACAAGCTCTGGGACTGAGTGAAGAGGGGAGGAGGCACGAAGCCCACTGCAGGCTTTCTCTGTTGAAGCATTGGTGTCCTTGCCCATGTTCTCCTGAAAGACTCCCCGGAGGTGGGGACCGTTCTCCTGAGCCCAGGTCAGTTCCCTCCTGACTGAGGGAACCTCTCTGTACTTTGAGCCAGTCTTGCCCTGAGGGTCCGAATTTCTTTGTCTCAAGACAGGCTCTACACGACAGAGACTACCACAACTGGCAGAAACATTGCTAAGGCTGACACTCTGAGTTGCTAAGGCTGACACTCTGAGTTCCCCTGCCAAGCCCCAGGGAGAGATGGGGAGGAACGTGATCTTCCAGGTAAACAGGAGTATTCCAGAAAACTTGCCAGTCCATGCCACCATCTCCCCAAACAGACGCCGCTCACTCCCATCTGAGGCTGCTCACTGGCCTTCTCCCTTTTGGTCCACACTCAGTCATTCCTCAAGGCTCGGTTTCTTGCCTTCAGAACCCTTCCAGGTAACCAAAAACCTCTGCTTTGTTCTTTTTTTTTTTGAGTGGTGTCTCACTCTGTCGCCCAGACTGGAGTGCAGTAGCCGCTCCGGCCACCGCAGCCTCGACCTGCTGGGCTGCGGCGATCCTTCCGCCTCAGCCTTCCGAGTAGCTGGAATTACAGGCATGCGCTACCATGCCCGGCTGATTTTTTTTTATTATTTATTGTAGAGATGACGTCTCGCTGCCCAGGCAGGTCTCAAACCCACGGGCTCAGGCAATCCACTCACCTCAGCCTCCCAAAGGCGTGGGATTACAGGCTGAGCCACCGAGCCCGGCTTGCTTTGTTCATTTTTACAAAAATTGTTGTGATGCTATTTGGCAATAAATCATCAACTTCCTGCAAGTATTTCATAATTGTCATCCCTGTTACCTCTGACTAGATCATGAAGCTGTTAACGTCTGGGGCCAGGTCTTTTATTTCCTTTTTCTTTTTTCTTCTTAGACCTGCTATGTTGTCCAGACTGGTCTCGAACTCCTGGCCTCAAGCGATTCTCCCACCTCTGCCTCCCAAAGTGCTAGGGTTACAGACGTGAACCTGGGTCTTTTATATGCTTGTACTGACCCCAGTGTCTATCCAGAGTGGGGCATTTAAAAGACACACTGCTGGAAGATTATTTGAGTGAATGGATGGAGTTTGGGATTTGAATGATCAAGGAAGCCTTAAATTCCAAATGGGTAAGGAGTCCTCCCCAGCATGTGGTAAGTGCTTTGTCTTATGCCTTTTGGTGATCACCTAGCAGGTGCTGAATAAATGATTCGGGGTGGGGGGGAAGGAAGGAGAGCATATGATGGGCAGATCTACCGGAGGCTTAGCTGGTCAATTGATATGTAAATATATGGGTGATTAGTAGATAGAGAAATGGAGACTTTGGTCAGTAGACATGAGGAGATAAGTATATATAAGTGCGTAGACAGCAGATATAAATGGAGACTTGAGTAGGCGCGAGCAGGTGGGTGGGTAGCCAGGTAGGTTTGAGAGCAGGCAGGCAGGTGGACAGGCAGGCAGCTGGAGAGGCAAGAAGACCATGAGTAAGCACACAGGTGAGTGCTCAAGGTCACAGCGGCGAGGCAGGCTGGGAGGCAGGCTGAGCATGGACCTGGCAGCAGGGAAATCCCATAGGGAGGTGCCAGCTTCCGGGTGCAGGGGCCTCTCCCTCGGCTCCCAGGTGAGGGACTGTGGGTCTGCCTACTGAGAAGCAGCCCAAGGTGAAGGACAAGGGGCCCCCTCGCCCACACATCTCCTTCCAGGGGGCAAAGGAGACTCCCCAGATGGGAGCAGGCTCTGGTTCTAGGGAAAAGAGGTCTGGAAGAAGGTGGGCCACAGCCTGGCTCCTCTCTGACAGCCACATCTCAGCTTTCCAGAACCCTAAAGGCCAAATGGGGAAGGAAGCTGGAGGGAGAGCTCAGTGGTGACTCTCCCTTTCCCATAAATCAGGCAACATCCTAGAGGAAGGCTTTGCTCTGTGCTTCTTAGAGCAGAAACCTCATGGACAAAAATAGCGCGTCATGGAAAACGGAGAGCCCCTGAAACAAAAAAGTCGAGTCCAAGAAAACAATAAAACCTAAAGCCCTAGCAGGGGTGCCCTTCAACTCCGGGACACTATGCAAATAGGCACCTGGGGGCCTCGAACTCCATTGACAAACCCAAGGCAGTTGGGCCTGCCCTCACTAGCCCTTCTAGCTGTGCTGAGCTGGGTGGCCTCAAACGCCAGCCTCGGGGTTGTTGAGTCAGAGCCAGCTTCCTCCTGCCCCAGGTGGATGTGCCCCACATTGGATGGGGCCCTGAGCCCTCAGGACAGTGACTCTGAGGGCAGGGCTCACCTCTCACCTCCCTCTACCGACGGGAAGACCGAGGCCCAGAGGGGTCCCGGGAAGTGCTCAGAGTCGTACCTCTTGGAGTCAGGGAGCCAGGACTGGCACTCAGATGGTCTGAGGACACAGCCATGCCCTTATTCAATGTGCCAACCCAAGGGCAGAGGCCACTCTGATTCACTTCTCAAATGTGCAAGTATCCAAGCACCCAGCACTGTATTTCATGGGAATGGGCGTCTGGATGTGATTTGGGGCCCCCAGTTAGACTGCAGAAATGATTGCTTTCTGGGTCAAGTCCCTGGTTCTCTTTCTTCCAGTTGTCTGGTGTTTATTCAGTGCCACCTAATGCCAGGCACTGCCCTGCTGGTTTCCCAGCTACTATCTCATTTAACCCTCAAGATAGTCCTGGGAAATTGTCATCATTCTCGTTTTAGAGATGAAGAAATGGAGGTTCAGAGAAGCCCAGTCATGTGGCCATAGTCACAGGGTCTGCAAGGGTCAGAGCAGGGGCTCAGAGCCAGGCTGCCCGGCTTCCAGCCTGGTTCCTTCTGCGTCATTGCCCATCCCTGCTCTCCCTCTGACTGTCACCCATGGTTGACTGAGTACCACCTGGATGTCTGCTTTGATGCTTCACTGAGGCTACTGAGTTGCTTCAGGGCAAAGACCTTGACTCCTGGGCCTCACCCGAGCCTTCCTGGGGCTGGAGGCAACATGCTGCTCTGTGTAGCACAGAGCTGAACCCCGAGGTCACATGCCTGTAAGTGGGCTTTCTGCACAAGTACAGCAGAAGCCCTGCACTCTCTGAGGGTGCCTTCTGAATCATCAGGCTGGTTTCAGTTTGAAGATTGTCAACCTGTTTGGGGTAGGTTTATAGTAGATTTGGACAATTCCCTTGGGCTGTTTAGAAGAGGAAGCCAAGCAGGAAGTGCTACAATAGGCCTGTACTCATGAGACCCAGTATCACCCCTCCCTGGGCCATGACCTAAGGCAAATCACCTAACTTCTCTGTGCCTCAGTTTATTCATTTCTAAGATAGGAATAACATAGTACATGAACTTTCCATCCATCTGTCTGCCCATTCATCCGTTTGTCCATCTGTCCATCCATCCATCCATTCGTCCATCTGTCCAACCATCCATTCATCCTTCCATTCATCCAGTCATCTAACCATCTATTTGTCCATCCATCCATCCATCCATCCATTTGTCCACCCATTCATCCATCTCTCCATCCATCCATTCATTCATCTGCCCAGCCACGCAACCCCATCCATTCATCCATCCGTCTGTCTGTCCATTGACCCACCCACTCACCCATCCATTGGCTCATCTGTCCATCTGTCCATCCATCCAGCTATCTATTCATCCATCCATCCATCCAAACATCCATCTGCCCAGCCACCCACCCCTCATCCATTCACCCGCCTGTCCATCCGTCAGTTCTCATCCATCCATCCATCCATCCACTCACCCACTCATTCATCCATCCGTCTATCCATCCATCCATTTATTCATCCATCCATCTATTTGTCCATCCATCCATCCATCCACTCACCCACTCACCCATCCATCCATCCATCCATCCATCCAGTCTCCCATCCCCCATCCATCTGCCCAGCCGCCCATCCCCTCATCCATTCATCCATCCGTCTATCCATCCACTGATCCACCCACTCACCCATCCATTGGTTCATCTGTCCATCCATCCATCCATCCATCCATCCATCCATCCATCCATCCATCAAAACATCCATCTGCCCAGTCACCCACCCCTTATCCATTCACCCGCCTGTCCATCTATCAATTCATTCATCCATCCATCCGTCTATCCATCCATCCATTTATTCATCCATCCATCCATCCATCCAACATTCAACAAACACGTAACACCTGTCCTCGGCCTTTGAGATGCATCATGAAAACATTCTTGTCCTTGTAGAGCTTATTTTCCAGTGTGAGAGTAGCAACACATACACACAAACACAAAAGTAAAATATACAGAAGGTGAGGAGAAATGTCGATCTGGTGAGGGGCTGGAAGCATGGAGGGGGAAGTCACCATTCTAAATGAGATGCTCAGCGTGGACCTTGCTGAGAAGGCAGCATCTGAGCAGTGTTGAAGGACGTTGGGAGGTTGTCCCAGAGGATGCCTGGAGAAGAGTTCTCCAGGTGGAGGGTGCAGCATGTGTAAAGGTCCTGAGGCAGAGGGCGTGCTGGGCATGTCCAAGGAGCAGGGCGGGGATGGCATGGCTGGAGTGACTGAGCAAGGAGAAGGGAAGCAGAGGAGGAGAGCCGAGAGGTGATGAGGCCCGAGGGCGAAGGCCTCTCAGGCCGCTGTCCAGATTTAGCCTTTCCTCTGAGTGGCCTGGGAGCCAGCCAGGCATTTTGAGGCCAGCCAGAGGCCCAAGGGCATTATGGGTGGTTGGAAGGGAGGGTCACAAAGACCCACACGAAGATTCCCTTTCCTGAACCCCCTTGAAACAGAACTCCATACCCTGATTGACAAACCCCACAGTGCCCTGACCCTGTCCTCTTTGTTCCCCCCTGCAGGCCGCCCTGTGGACCCACACCTGCCCTGTCGCCACCCTGTCCCAGGCCAGCCTGGTATCCTTGAGGGGAGCCAGCCCGGAGGGCGAGAAGAGGGAGCAGGGACGGAGCGTTTGCCCTGCTCCATCTCCAGCTCCCGGGGACCACACTGGGCCCTGAGCACACTTCCACTTTTTGGAGTCACGTGGGATCCAAAATAAAAATATTACATCCCCAGGGTGGAAACAGAGTTAAATAACAGGAACTAGCATTCTCAGAAGAGGGGGGCCACTGAGGTGTCCGCAGGCCCGTGTGAAGGCGTGTGTGGCTGGGGGGTGTCGTGGGAGGCTCTGACTCCTCCTCCAGGTTGGCATCTCTACCCTCACCAAGACCATCCTGGCTGGTTGCACCCTCATGGAGAAGCCAAAGGAGTTGATGGCGGTGGAAACAACCCCCACCCCCCGGGCCCCTGGCCCCGGGTGTCCTTCAGGAGGGAAGGAAAGAGGAGCCCGAGGGACCGTGGAAACCACCAGGCAAGAACGTAACCACCAGAAGAGAAACCCCTAGAAACAAGTCTTGGCAGAAGAGCAGGAGGGTACCCACATGGCCCTGGCGCCCCAGGCACTGAGGCACTGTCCTCAGAAGGCACTTTACCCCCATAGCCAGGCTGCCTGTCTCCAAATCCAGCCTGACCACTGCCCTTTTGGGCTACCTGGGCATCACCTCTGGGCAGTGTCTGTTTTCTTCTTTGGGTGTTGAGTAAGGATGGAGCTCATCAGAGGGCTCAGAGCTGAGGGGAACTAAGGAAGGGAGTGCTGGGCCGAGCTGAGGCTGCGCTGGGCACACAGGACACTCAGTGTCCACAACTGTTCAAGATTCAAGCTGAGAAAGAGCCAGAACAAACCCTGTCTTTAGAAAGTTGCAACACTGCACCCAAATGAGCACCTTTTTGCAACTGGGAAAACCTACAATGCTGGAGGAGCCAAGGATGTGAGCAGAAACAGTGGGGCTCAGTCTGGGCTTTCCAGTTCGGGATGCACGATGGCGTCCGTATTCTGCTAAAATGAGGATGCACTTTCTCTCCCCCAGGAGACAGTCCTGGTTCTGCCTTTCACTCTCCCCCTCACCTTTTTCCTCCCTCCCTTTCTTTCCCCCTCTCCTCTTTCCAGCTATCTTTCTTTTTTGTCTTTTGAGACAGGGACTCCCAGACTGGAGCGCATGGCACAATCATAGCTCAATGCAGCCTCCAAATCCTGGGCTCAAGCAATCCTCCTGACTTAGCCTCAGCTGGGACTACAGGTGTGCACCACCACATCTGGCTAATTATTTTATTTTATTTTTGTAGAGACAGCGTCTTGCCATGTTGCCCAGGCTTTTCTCAAACTCCTGGCCATACGCGATCCTCCTGCATCAGCCTCTCAAAGTGCTGGGATTGCAAGTACAAGTCATCATACCCAGCCTCTGTCTCTTTCTATACCTATCTCTCCCTTTTTTTCTCTCTCTTTCTGCTTGTCTATCTGTTTCTGTCTCTGTTGCACACAAACACACATGCATGGAAAAATAACATACACACATATGCACACACAAATACACACTCACATGCAAATACAAATGGACATGTGTGGGTGCACACACATGAACATGCATACGCACAAATGCATGCATGCACACACATGTACACACATGCACATGCACACACATGAGTGTACACACACAGTGTCATCTGCGTGCCAGCTCCTGGGCTCCTCCTCGCTACACACCCCATTGATGGTGCCTGTACTGTTTTCCCCCCCTGGACTGTGAGCTCCTGGAAGGCAGGAGCTGACCCATCCACCTGAGCACAGCCAGGGCTGACACATCGTGGAGCAAGCCCGACTAGCACTTGGCTACACGCCCCGAGTGTTCCCTCCAAGGCTTGTCGTGTGGGAAGCATGCCGTACCAGCATGCCCAGCAGCATAGACCACGTTCCAAGTCCTCATGGGATGCCAGACCCCATCCAGCCTGCCTTCCCAGTGACTATCCTTCCAGAGAGGGATAGTCCTTCCACAGAGGGATAGCCCTTGAGTTACCTGTGGCCAGTCACTGCCCTTGAGTGAGGGGATGCCAACTTACCCCCATGGTCTCTGTGGCTGGGGCCCCTCTCGGCCGTTGGGGCCTGCGACCCGCTCCAGAACCACCCCCGGAAGGCTGAGTCCAGGTCTTCCTTCTCCAGCAGGGTCAGGGATATCTTCCTGGCCAAAGCCTCGTCATCTGGCTCGCGGAGCAGGGCGCTGTGGTATTCCCGGGAGAGCAGCGCCTCATCCAGCAGGTTGTCCAGAAGGGCCTGCACTTGGCCGGGCCCACAGCTGGAGAGCAGCCCTCGGATGTGGGGCAGAATGGCCTGGAAGCAATTCATGGCGGCTGCCTGAGCCAGGATCTGGCGTCCCTGTCACCCAGCCTGCAGCATCCAAAACATGAAGTGAAAACCAGGACGAGGGAACTCTGCCACTGACCGCCGTTGATTCCTGCTCAGGAAGATTTCCTCATTTGCGTCGCAGGCTGGGGTGCTTGATGCTCGGGTGGAAACAGGTTCTTGGGCTGATTCAGATCCCGTAGAATGTTCATGGGTCCCACTCACGCACATGCACCAGGGAAGCCCACTGCCCTGTGGATTCGCTCAAGCCAGTCCAGTATTCACAAAGAGGAAGGGACCTTGCCCCTGGGAGGACCTATAAGAGGACAGGTCCCTTCACATGTTATATCACAGCAAGAAGGCGTGGTGGCGTAGAGGGTAAGCCAATGGGTTGGAGCCAGCCTCCTCAGGTTCAAGTCCCACATCTGCCCCTTGCTAATAATTACGTGACCTTGAGTAAGCTGTTAATTCTGTGCCCTTGGGGAAGCTCCTTAGGCTATTTTAGTCTCCGTTTCTCCATCTGAAAATGTGGAGTGATCATAACAGTACTTACTTCATAGGGTTGTTGGGAGGATTAAATGAGATACCACATAGAGTGCCTAGTGTGTTATCCATAATACAATAATAGCCCTGTAATTATGAGCCATCATTACTGTTGCTATTGATTAGTCATGCAATGAACTCCATCATCTTGAGTTTAACATCACTAAACCCCAGTCTCCCCTTCTGCAAAATGTCCCAATAAAAACCATCCAGGGCCAGGCACAGTGGCTCACACCTGTAATCTCAGCACTTTGAGAGGCTGAGTCGAGAGTATTGCTTGAGCCCAGGAGTTTGAGACCAGCCTTGGTAAATTGGTGAGACCTCATCTCTATAGTAAATTTAAAAAATAGTCAGGCATGGTGGCACACGCCTATAGTTCCAGCTACTTGAAAGGCTGGGGTGGAAGGACCACCTGAGCCCAGCAGATAGAGGCTGCAGTGGCCATAATCGTGCCACTGCACTCCAGTCTGAGTGACAGAGTAAAATTCCGACTCAAAAAAAAAGAAGCCATCTAATCTCATATGCATTTAAGGGGCTTAGCACTGGACCTAGTGAGCATTTAATGAACACCAACTGTTTACTAATATTATCCCCAACTTACTACTACTGCCCAAAACAGAGGATTTGCATAGGGGCTGGTCTGTTTCAGGATCCTAACAATCCCCAAACCAATTTGTATAAGTCACAGTTGGTTTTTTTCCCACCTGTCCTGCAACACACTATCACCTCACCTGCTCTCTGGGCTTTGGCTTCCCTGCTTCTCAGGTGAGCACATTTGCACTTTCATAAAGATGAGACAAGGAGGATTTCCACCTCCAATATGGCTGAGTAACTCCTAAGCGATCAACTCTGCTATGGATCCAAGCTCTAACTCTGGGGAAAATATGAAAAATCTACTATCTGGAGACACTGGAGAGCGACAGAACTTTCAGACCCTGCCAGAGGGTCAGTACGTGGAAATGCAAACATCACTGGTCAATTTCCCAGCTCATCAGTGTAGCCTGAAGGCAGGTCCTAACAGTGCTATGTAGGGCACTTAAAACTTTGCTTTTTTGGTTTTCATTTTTCTGACTCAGGGTCCCACTCTTTTGCAGCCCCAACCTCCTCGGCTCTGGAGCTCCTCCTGCTTCAGCCTTCCAAGTCTCTGGGTCTACAGGCATACACCACCACACCCAGCTAATTTTTTTTTATTTTTTGTAGAGATGGGGTCTTGTTATACTGCCCAGGCTGGTCTTGAACTCATGGGCTCAAGCAATCCTCCTGCCTTGGTCTCCCAAAGTGCTGGGATGACAGGCGTGAGCCACTGCACCCGGCCAACATTTTTAAATGGGGCAATGGAGATTATTCAATTTGAAGAACAGAGAGAAACATGAGAAAAGCACCTCAGGTATCCGTGGGCAGTATCAAAAGGTCCCACTTATATAAAGCCACAGCAGGAAGCGAGAAAGAATGGGGCAGAAAAAACATTGGAAGAAATAACAGCCAAAAATGTGTGTTGAAGGAAATACAGATTTGAGAAGCTTGGCAGATCCAAGCAGGATAAACACAAGAACACACCTAGACACATAACAGCCAGGCTGTTGACACCCAAAGACAAAAAGAAACTGGCAAAAGTAGCCAGATCAAAATAACACATGACATGACATCTCACTAGAAACCATGGAGGCCAGAAGACAGTAGAGCAATATCTTGGAAGAACTAAGACTTTAAAAAAAAATTGTTTGGCCAGGTGTGATGACTTACACCTGAAATCCCAGCACTTTAGGAGGCTGAGGCAGGAGGATTGCTTGAAGCTAGGAGTTTGAGGCTACAGTGAGCTATGATGGCATCCCTGCACTCCAGTCTGGGCGACAGAGCAAGGCATTGTCTAAAAAAAAAAAAAAAATATTGACCCAACAGAGTTATACATTCAATGAGACTATCTTTAAAGAATGTTTAAAACAAAAAGGAGAGAAAAAGAGAGAGAGATTTTCAGATCAAAGAAACCAAAAGAACACGTGCATTGTGAGAACTGCACTGCAAGATGATGAGACACACGCACTGGGCATGCAGACCTGGCCGGGGTGCAGGTTTGTTCTCCAAGCGCTTATGAGGCTGCCTTGAGGGTTCCTGTAATCTCACCATCACCCGTCACGGGCTTAGTCAGAACAGCCTGAGCACCAGCCTCCCCTGGGTGCTGGCTGGCTATGCCACCACAGGAAGAACGCTTCCTCTCTCTGGACCGCAGTTCCGTCACCCATGAGACATGGAGGTGGATCACACGGTCCTAGGATTCCCTCACTTCTTATTTTTTTTTGAGTTGGAGTTAGAGTCTCACTCTGTTGCCCAGGCTGGAGTGCAGTGGCACTCCCACAGCCACGGCAGCCTCCACCTGCTGGGCTCAGGTGATCCTTCCGCCTCAGCCTTCCAAGTAGCTGGAACCACAGGTGCATCCCACCACACCTGGCTGATTTTGGGATTTATTGTAGAGATGAGGTCTCGCTAAGTTCCCCTGGCTGGTCTCGAATTCCTGGACTCGGGCAATCCTCTCGCCTCAGCCTCCCAAAGTGCTGGGATAACAGGCGCCAGCCACCGTGCCCGGCTTCCCTCTGCTTCTGAAGAGAACCATGTTCGGGAGCATTACTTACTTGCAGAAGCCACAGACCTCAGAGTGCAGTTTGTTATGAGAGCAGGTTTCTCTTATCAGTTATTCAGGACATCTTGCATGTTTTTCTCCCTCCTAACCACATGCAACCTCCTATTATTTGCTTAATAATAATATTGACTTTAACCTGTCCTTTTTTTTTAGACAATGCATTGCTCTATCGCCCAGGCTGGAGTACCGCAGCACGGTCACGACTCACCGCAACCTCAACCTCATGGGCTCAACTGATGCTTCTGCCTCAGCCTCCTGAGGAGCCAGAACCACAGGCACACACTCCACACCTGGCTAACATTTTTTCTGTTTTTTTGGTATAGATGATATCTCATTATGTTGCCCAGGCTGGTCTCGAATTCTCAGGTTCAAGCAATCCTCTTGCCTTGGCCTCCTAAAGTGCTGGGATTACAGTTGTGAGCTACCACTCCTGGCCTAACCTGTCTTATTAAGTTAATTTATTTCAAAAGGAAATTTCATATCTTTACCACAATTAGAAAGTCAATATTCCTTGTGCAAGAATAGTAGGCAACTGTAACAAAGACACAGAATGTAAAACAATCATATGAAAATTTATGGGAGGCCAAGATGGGAAGAAGGCTTAAGTTTGAGACCAGCCTGGGCAACATAGTGAGACCCCGTTTCTACAAAAAACATTTTTTTTTAATTAGCTGAACATGATGGGTTTCGCCTATAGTCCCAGTTACTCAGAGGCTGAGGTGAGAGGATCACGTGAGCCCAGGGACTGGAGGCTGCAGTGAGCTATGATGGTACCACTGCACTCCAGCCTGGGAGACAGAGCGAGACCTTGTCTCAAATAAATACATAAATCAGAAAAAAGAAAGTATTGGGAGGGTATTGAAGATAGACTTGCTCCAAGCTCAAGATCTCTTGCATCAGTTGAGAAGAAAACAGAAAATGGGAACTGTCCTCTTCTGCTGAAACACATATAAAAGGCTGCAATCTTCAGGGTGGCAGTTTGGCAAAGCCTACTAAAGAATTACATCATCCCCAGAATCTCTGCGCTTCAGTACATGCCAGGAGGATTCTGACACATGTGTCCTGTGACACATGGAGCTTCATTACTTGTGATGGCCAAAAATCCCAAAATACAATCAATGCAACAGTAGATGTAAAAGTCTTTTATAAACGTGCTGGCGGGTGTATGGCTTTCGCGAGTTCAATTTAACAGACCCAGCCCAAGTGGAGGAAGTTGTTCAAATGAAGTGATTCAAATAAATTACACACTGGGGTGGTGAACAGGCGTGCAAGGGTTAATAGTTGGGTCTTTATAATCTTCTTTCCCCTGATTTCACAATAATATATGTGATTTCACTAATATGTGACACATAAAAGTGAATTCACGGACTGTGACCTGACCTGAGACTTTTCTTTTTTTTTTTTGGTAGAGATGGGAGTCTCACTATGTTGCCCAAGCTGGTTTCAAACTCCTAGCTTCAAGCAATCTTCCTGCCTCGGCCTCTCAAAATGTTGGAATTACAGGCGTGAGCCATCACACCCCACTATTTCTTTTTTTTTTTTTGAGTTGGAGTCTCACTCTGTTGCCCAGACTGGAGTGCAGTGGCTGCTCCCGGCCACCGCAGCCTCAACCTGCTGGGCTCCGGCGATCCTTCTACCTCAGCCTTCCGAGCAGCCAGAATTACAGGCACGCACTACCACGCCTGGCTGATTTTTTTATTTATTGTAGAGATGAGGTCTCGCCAAGTTGCCCAGGCGGGTCTCGAACCCGTGAGCTCAGGCAATTCACTCACCTCAGCCTCCCAAGGCGTGGGATTACAGGCTGAGCCACCGAACCCGGCTGACT